ATCATTTTCATAGCCAATTGCAAGCATTTGACCTCCTCTCTCTGCCTCCCTCCCTCTCGCTTTGTCTCTGTCTGCCTTTTGTTAATATGAAACGTGCCTGGCTGATGCGCCGTGTCCAATTATATAGTTCATTGTAGGGTATGCTAAATCGCGCACAGCAGACTTAACATTTGCTCGAATTAATCTTTTCTTTATATTTTGCGCATTCTCAGCTCTCGCGAGAGTTCTCATCCGAGTCGCAGTTGGGGCTGGGCCTATTGCTTTGAACGTTTTAGCCGCTTTATCCGATTTGCGGTTAAATTGTCTGGCTGAAGCAGAAACCAATTTCAATTTCAAACAAAACGTTTTCTGCAAATTACGCAAACTTCTTTCACTCCCAGCGTTTTGCCATCCACTCAAAGATGGCAGTTGAAAGAGCTCGTTATACCCTGTGCTCAGTGCTAAAGGGGTATATGAACAGCAGAGATGGACTTCTATCTGTGTGTGAGGTTGGAGCTGAACACTTTTACATATTGCTCTCAGTCTACAAGCGGTAAGTTCTCCAAAACTCTTCTCAGTCACATGAGCTCAATTGCGTAGGAATCCCATATATATTGAGCATATCTGATACTACAGGGTATTTGGTAGTCATGCTCTGCCGACTAGAGCACACGTTACACGTTCTCGCATCGGAAGTGTTTTTGCTGATTGCCAGTTGCTTAGCTTGGCTACAGATCTGTCTCTCTCTCACTCTCCGGCTCTACCTCTCTCCCTCTCTCGCTCTCTCTCTGTAGATCTCTGTAGATCGATTCAGCGGAAACAATCATCGAAAATGATTTATGCTCGTTCTAATGAGCACAAGTAATACTCTTCCTTTGCCATATGGCTGGATCTATAAGCCACCCTCCCCTTCTCACACTACATCTGTCTATCTCCCTCTCGCTGACAAATCGATTCCAAATTGTTGCAGTCACTCCGTCCCTCAGCTTGTAATTAGCTCTATAAACAAAGACGCCCACCAATCAGCTCTCTCCCTCTCCCTCTCCCTCTCTCATATCTTTTGATAAATTAGGTATGTTTTCATGCTTTGTTTATGTGCACAGCCCACAATTGGTCGCATTATCAATCGATAATTTTTCCCTGTTGTCAACACAAATTTGATCTATGCAATGGCCAAAAACTTCTCCTAGAGATGCGCATGCCGCAGGCAAGAGTTGTTAGACACGCATGATTAGAAAAGAATATGAGAAAATAATTTGTCATTTTTTAACTATGGGTGCCGAACGATAAATTGATATGGCGCAAGTGTTCGACTCTATAAAGCATATCGATTCTTGATAGGGATGTTCAGCTGAATCGCTTTAGCCGTTTCTCTTTGACGAAATGTTGCTCTTCCATTTGTCTCCGGAGCATTAGATGTTGATTCAAGTTTATTCGAAACTTTTCATGATATAATGTATCTGCCTCTCAATCTCTATCTGTTACCTACTTACTAACTGTCTGTCCGTCCGTATTCACTGTAAGTTCTCATATCTCACGCAGATCATGCTTTGTTTGTTATCGATGAATCTAGAAATGTCTGTTTCACTTTCTTCATGTCCATATAACTGCCAGTCTGTCTGCATATACGTCTCTCCATGACTGGAGCTCTGACTATTCATCATAGTTCCATATGTAATACAGGCAAATGAAGTTTGTTTACCGATTTCCATGATATCGATAAATATCGATACACATTATTAGATCATATTTCTTCTGCTATGTTAAGGTATTCTCTTATCCCGCTGCTGCCCAGTTCTTAACGAATGTCTCCTGCTCTCGTGTCACGACACGTTCTCCTCTTCAAGTTCCACGCCTAAGCAGCATATCCGGCATACCTCTTCTCCTTCTTCTTCGTCTTCAGCTTGTCACTGACTCTGATAAGTTCTTGAGTTGTCTGTCATATGGTTGTCGCGTCGCTCACATGGGAAGCGCCAGCCAATGATTATTATAAATCTCGGTCGAGTAAGTGCTGGGCTATTGTGTGTGGGCCGACTGAGCTATGAGCCGGGCTTTAGACGTGGACTTCGATTTGTATTTAAATTTGAATTCGAATTCAAATTCGAATTCGGTTATTTATGAGCTTTATGGCTGCAGGCTGCGCTGATTAATGTATGACGGAGTATGAATATGAAAGACTTTGGCTGGCCATTTAGGAGCGACATCAATTAGCCGACGCGTCGGCTGGGCCCCAAATCTAAATACATTAACACAAATCGTAGCTGCATGTGGAGCTGGGCCATTGATCCCCGTCGATCGATCGGCCGCTCTGTGGAGGTCTCCACCAGGTGCCACGGCGCAGCGCTGTTGCTGGCGCTTATCGATGCTTGTAAATGTCTCAACTATTTGTTAAATGCTAAAGCGACATGCTCATAATGGAAATGACAACTTAACAGCAATGCAGCAGGAGAAGGAGACGCCCCGACCAGGGCGAAGGCGACTCGGCGCAGGAAACGAGTGAAGAGACGACGGCAGAGAAATGGAGACGCCAAATGACAACAGAGACAAGAAAAGGATTGAGGAGCCGTGCTGAACGAAGCCTAAATACACTTGCAGAAATTATGTGTACAAATGTGGATATTATAAACTATATTGGGAAACTTTAATATCTATTCATATAGTCTGTCTATAGAACTCTAAGACTTCAGCTTTGATCTAATTAATGTAGTTGTTTCTTGGCTTAAGCTTTGCTCCATTAGCTTGGCCTTAAGACTCTTCATGGCTTATTGGATATGTGAACTCTTTGTAAGAGTGTTTAAACAAAATCTATGGCAGAGCAATGTTAAAAGGCTAACTGAAGTCAGCACTGCCTCCTCCTCCTCCTGCTCCTGCTCCTGCTCTACCACACCAGCCGCCCCCGCCTACCCTCCCGCGCAGCTATCAACGTTGCTGACGCCGTTGCATTGATAACTGTATTGGAGAGTGTCATTAACATTTTGATTGGTTTGCCAGACGATGCGAATGCAACGGGCAACGGGCTGCAGGCAACAGGCAGCAGGCAGCAGGACGAGCGAAGCTGCACATTATCAGCTCAGAAGGCATGCACATCATTTGTTAAATAAAGTAGAGTCACTCTCTTTCTCTCTGCACACACACACAATCACACATATATATGTATGCATATATATCTATATGCATTTGACTCTGTTTAGCAGTCGCTGCTTGTGCGAGGCAATTAATCAAGGCGACGTTTTTTGCTCTGTTTTGTTTTGCATGCAAAATGAAAACACCTTTTTAGTAGCAGCAACAACAACCACTCGAACAACATCGTCAATCAGGCCAGAGTTGACAAGAGCAGAGCCTGGGAGCCAGCCGCAGCTGTGCAGAGGAGGGGCGCATGGGGCGTATGCGTGATTCGTAATTCGTAATTCGTTAATTCGTTATTTTGTCATTTTGTTATTGGCGAGCCGTCGTGTGGCGCTTTGCGTTTACTTTTAAGTGGTTTCGCTGCAGGCGAAATTAAAAAGCGTCAATTTGTCACACGTGACCAGGTCGGCTCAGCATCCCATGCTCGGCCTGGGTCTCGTCATCGCTTGTGGCTGAGTGTTTAATTGGCCGGCAGCTGGCGAACCATTTCAGGCCACACTTGCACCATTTCCTGGCCCCAACTGGCACACACTCACACACAGTTGGCACACTTTTGTGTGCTCGAGTTATTAACTGCGCTCGCAATCCATTAGCTGAGCAATTGGACAACAAAATATACAAAAGGCGAGTGGGTGTAATGGCAATGCACCACTGATAGCTGAGCACCTCCCACAGCCCCACATTGTCTTGAGTTTGTCACTTGGCTCTGCTGATTGCCGAGCCTGGCATTTGGTTTCTTAATGGTTCTTTATGTGCTTCCAGGCGACGCACATAAATCCATTTCAAATGCTCAAGCCGAATGCTGATACGAGTGAACAGCTAAGTTTTCAGATACAAATATACGCAGATACAGATACATAATAGTAGTGTGTAGGCAGCGCACTGTCAAGAGTCCAATCCCCATAACTAAAAATGGAAATGAGCAATGTTTTACTTGAAAGGCAGAGAGAGGCGCAAACTCAGCTTGCACAATTTAAGTCAACTATATATATATTAAGATATACTTTGGCTACTTTATAAATACCTATCCAAATTATAGTTAGTTAGTTTGACTTGAGGTCAGGGTATTACATAGTCGTGCATAGTCTCGAGTACAGCTCACAGTATAGATGACCTTGATGCAATCTTCATGAAATCAACAACAAAGTATTCATTTTGTTATCAACTCAGAATGATATGATGTTACATATACAATTAATATATTTATACCTATTTATACACAAACATAAGCCAGCAGCAGCAAAGGCATTAGCTTTGACAATCAGAAACAGCACTTCATAGTCATATGCTCTAGCCTCAATCTGAATCTAAGTAGACTACACAGAACTCGCCGAGTCATGCTGCATTCAGAGTTTTGAGTGCGATCCCTAAAAGTGACTAAAAGGCAACGTCATGCTCGCAACTACAAATTGAAATTCCCTTGCACATTCACGAAATAAGTTTGTGCAGTCGGGTGTAACCGACTGCTTGGTACTCGCATTTGTTACCAAATCTACAGCTCAGCATGGAGTGAACTGCCAAACTTTGTTATCCACGAGCTGGCACAGATAGAGGTATTTCCGTATTGACCCCAAGAATGTCTTAAGCAGACTGAGACCTGAAGCAGACTTGGACTTGGAGATATAAACCATATTTGTTAAATGTAATGGCTTTAGTTGATAAAGAGATAGAGAGAGTGGGGAGCAATACTCCCTTCTCACAGCTCGAGCGAGTATTAATTAATGAGAGATAGAGAATCAAATAATAGGCTTGGGCGGGGGTAACTGTTTAGCTCGAATAGCAGATAAGCAGCAGCGCGCTGCAGTCGGCTCTGATAAGCTATCAGTCGGTCTTATCGGGGCAACTGACCTGCAAATAGTATTTATAATTGGGAATAGACAAACCGGCAGCAGTCGAGCAACGGATTCACTCTTAAACGGTTGTCGCAATGCTCGTTACTTTGGCTCTGCTTGCTCTGGTGGCCTTCCTGGGCTACGAGTTTCTTATCTGGAACTTTGGCTACTGGCGCAAGCGCAAGGTGCCGGGGCCGAGGCCGGCCATACTCACTGGCAACTATCCCAACCTATTCACGGCGCAGCAGCACGCTATATACGATCTCAACAAGGTCTATAGGTAACGCCTGGGACCGTTTTGACTCTGGGACTGCAGTCTAAGTGAATCTCTTGCTCTCTCTCCTCTTGCTGCAGCAAATACAAGCAACAATACGATGCAGTTGGCATTTTCATGTCACGCATGCCCCAGCTGCTGGTGCTCAGCCCCGAGCTGGCGCATCGCGTATTCGTGTCGAACTTCAAACACTTCCACGACAACGAGCTGGCCACGATGGTCGACGAGAAAAGCGATTTCATATTGGCCAACAACATGTTCTCGATGACAGGAGAGGAGTGGAAGGAGCGGCGGGCCGACATAACGCCCGGCCTAACCATGAGTCGGGTAAGCCAAAGGCAAACACTCACTCAATTCATATCAACTTAAAGTAATGTTACCTCTCAATATATGCATATATATATTCATGTTCCTCTGCAGATCAAAGCCGTTTATCCAGTGACGAATCAAGTGTGCAAAAAGATGAACGAATTCATTCGCAAGCAAATACGCATTGCGCCCAAGGATGGAGTGAACGGCAAGGATGTAAGTGGCCTAAAGACTATAGACTATACATATATATGTAGCGCAGATCGTACAGTCTATATAGCTCCTTTTCTCTCTCTAACCAACAGATCAGCCTTTGCTTTACCACGGAAATGGTCACAGATTGCGTTCTGGGCCTGAGCGCTCAGAGCTTCAGCGAGCATCCCACGCCGGTGATGGCAAAAATAAAGAATCTGTTCGAACAGCCTTTGGTGTTCGTGATAAGTTTTGCTGTTATGTCCTTGATACCCTCGCTGCGCCGCATCAAGAAGTTGCGCTTCATACCGCAGCATGTGGAGCGCTTCTTTGTGGACTTCATGGAGGCGGCTGTTGAAGCGCGCAACAGCCAAGTCGCAGCTGGAAAGCACGCGGATCGGGTGGACTTCATGGACTACATTCTGCAGCTGGCCAAGAAGAAGAATCTGAGCTCTCGCAAGCTCACAGCTTGCTCAATGACCTTCCTGCTGGATGGCTTTGAGACGACGGCCTCTGTCTTGTCCCACACGCTGCTGCTGCTGGGTCGCGATGCCCAGGCTCAGCAGCGACTAAGAGAGGAGCTGACGGCACACCTGAACGACCAGGGCTTCATCGATTTTGATAAGCTAGTCGAGCTGCCCTATCTGAATGCCTGCGTCCAGGGTGAGTATAAATGAGAGTGAAGCAATTTGAACTCTTTGAACAACTTTAGATCGCACTTCCAGAGTCGATTCGTCTCTTTCCTCCCCTTGCCGCATCCAACAAGCTGTGCACCGAGTCCCTAGAGCTGTCCAATCGGAATGGCCCCAGCTTCACTGTGGAGAAGGGCACCATTGTCGTGGTGCCCCATTCCTGCTATATGCTCGATGAGGACTACTTTCCCAACGCCAAAGAGTTTCAGCCGGATCGCTTCCTGGACCCCGACGCTGTCAAGACGTATCGCGATCGAGGCGTATTCATGGGCTTCGGCGATGGCCCACGCATCTGCATAGGTACGTAGAGCGTGTCCTATTGAGAGCTATTCCCAACCCCAAACTGCTTCGCGTCTTGCAGGCATGCGCTTTGCCCTCGCCCAGATCAAGGCTGCACTTGTGGAGATTGTCGTCAACTTTGATGTCAGCGTCAATGCAAGGACTCGCAAGGACAATATGTTCGAGCCAACGGGCTTGGTTACGAGGCTCAAGGGTGGCATTTGGCTCGACTTCGCTGCGCGTTCCTGAACTCTCGGAAGTCACATCACAAAGAGGCTTGCAGAGCTTTTGAAGCTTATCAATATATCACTTTTGCATAACTTAGCTATATATAAATGTCTCTTTAAGCGAGTACTGACTGCCTAATACTCTACTCATGGCTGAGCGGCAGCTGCAGCAGTCTAATCTCTGTGTACAGGGTATACTTAAGGTCTGACAACATTTGAACTCTTCAACTCATGATTTGAATTGGGCCAAGTCTCACATTTGATTGAGCATAAATTAAAACTATAATTAATAGAGAATTTCAACTACTTTTGACTGCAACAAACTTTTAATTAGTTCTGCCTGACCTAGGCTATACCCTGTAATGCACTCTTGCTAGAACTCGATAGATTGTTGCAATCTGAAGTGCACATGCTTCAATGCATTTACTCGCTCGACTGTCCAAGTCAAAGGCGAGTATATGAGCTTTATTTTGTTTGCCTGACCGCCTAGACAAGTGGATTGAGGTTTACTTGTATAAATAATAATGTGAATAATAGATTACTATCAGCAAGTCTTGGCAGTTTTCACAGTGAAAGCAGGCCATATTCGTTTAATGCGATGTTTTCCTTGCGTTTGTCTATCCGTGCGGATGCCTTCGTCCTTTGGCCTATATTTTCCACTGCAATGCCTGGCAGTTAAATGTCTCTAGACTTTCACAAAAGACCTCACATTATATATGAATGCCCGCTAGAGAGTAGCTCCATAGCTCAGGAGTTTGAATCCCATAGTTTTGCAGTTGGATCAAAATTGTTGCTTTGTTCTCTTTGCTTTCTTTTGCAACTCTCTTTTGAGACATAAATCAAATGTAGTTGGTGGACAACTAGGCATGGTTAGGTCACATGTAGTGTGAGTAATAAAATTTTAGACTGCCTTGAAGTCTATATCTATGGGATGCTAGTTTTGATTGCAAGTCTGTCTAAGTGTTTGCTGCTGAGACTTCTTCAATGACTGCTAGTGGGGTCTCTGGTAAGGTCTCTATGTGTGACATACCAATGTGAATTCTCCTAGACTTCTTAGCAGTTAGTGTGTTGTGGTTCGATATAATTAGCCGTCAGTTATTATTTATATATATAACACTTTCAGAATAAAACAGAATTTGAGTGTTTGCCCTTGAAGTAGTGGCAAAAGTTGTTGTTGTCAGGCAGAGACAGTGTGAGAGAGGGGGAGAGGGAGAGTCTGTTTGGGGCAGGCTTAGGGCTTTGGATGCTGCAACGTCACCAGCTACACATGTGTCCATCAGCTGAAGGCAGCTGTGAGTTGAGTTCTGAGTGTGTCCCTGGTGCTGGTGCGGGCTGTGAATGCTTTGGCTCTGAATTTTGTAGCAGTTGCAACAGTCGAGCTGAGCTCAAGCTCGAGCAAAGCTGCCAGAGGCCACTTGGAATTAATGAACAACGCCACGGCATATATATATATATGTATATATATATATATACCTATATATATATATATATGATTTTTTTAATTTGAGCTAAAATGCATTTCGGCATGATGGACGAGACAAGTCGCCTAGAGTAGCAGGAGATCCCCGGTCTAAGGATTTTTTAATTGTTTTGGGAAATGGGAGGCCAGAAAAAATGAAAATATTCATTTGTAATGCGGAAATGTTGAAAAATGACTGCGTTGCACAGTGTAAAATGATGAAAAAATGTGCAGAAGTGTAAAAGTCATTTATAATATTTCGCATCATCATCAATTCTGACAAATTTTTTATAGTGCCTAAATGCAAATGCGAATGGAGCGGCTAAGAAAACATTTTAATTAGCATTTAAAATGCGTATTAAGCAAAAAGCTTTTAACAATGACAAAAACAAAAACAAAACTCAGAGCCAGAGCCAATCGATGCATCAAAATATGAGTGGAATACCCCCTCCACATGCCCCCACGTGCCCCTGTGCCATACTTAAGGCCTCGCTCGTTCATTAACAAGCGCGTCAAACTGATAAGAGACCAGAGCCCAGAGCCCAGAGCGAACGCACAGGAGCAGAGGGGCCAAGGGCGCCAGGTAAAAAGCGAAAAAAAAAACAGGTCACAATGCTAATTGATTGCAGCGAGGTTTTGTGTGCCGTGTTGTGTTGCCGCAACGTGGGCTATAAAATTATTGAAGACGGAGACACGCATTTCTCGTCTCGATAAGCCAACGCATGACTCATGGCCAGGTAAAAAGGTGAGCGCGCACAGCTCTGACCCCAGCCGGAACGCTCAGTCCTCAGCGCTCAGAGCATCTAATGCAGCCTTGCAGATTAAGCAATTAACTCGGCTAGTTGAGATAACGGCACGAGCTCAAAACTCAAAGAGGTGTAAGTTCTATATAAATGATATTCAATATATAACATATATATATACGAATCTATATATGTGTATTATGTATTTATCTGAACGATTATAATGCATTTTGTTTGAGCTGACATTAGCTATGCAAATTGAAGTGGTATGAGGGCTGTGACAGACTAGAGAATACCCTCTGAATACGTCGTTTCCATTCAAAATGGATTTAAGATATTTACATATTGTCTACATAACTCAAGCACTATAAGAGCGAGAGATACCAAATTTTATATCTTGCATCTCGAATAGAATATACATAAATAATCCAGTGCGGGTATATCCTAGTCGGACACAACTCCCTAAGACCTATACAAATATATTCTAGCTATTATTTCTTCCACCTTCACATAACGAATATACCCCACACACTCCCCACGTTGGCAGGGTATGAAAACACGTCTTAAGCTCGTTTTCGTATTTCAACAAATACCTTCCACTGACAAACGGAGAAAGAGACTCATCTTTATGAGCGTTGCTTTGCATTTGTTATTTTTTATTCACTTTTAATGTTATAATTTACTTTCCAAATATTTAACGTAAATATTTGCGCCTTTGTGCTCGGCCTGTTTATGGGGGCGTAAGTCTTTCAGCCAAACAGACTGAAATGAATGAATGCTATAGATCTGATATTTTTACGAGCGAGCTCTGATTTAATTAGTTTTATGTGTCGAGCGACTGGAAAACCCCTCACAACAGCTCCAAGCTGTTATACAAATTAGTGAAATGTGCCAAACGAACGAGTCCAAATGCCCAAAAAGGCAGAGTTTTAAATGTCTAATTTATGAAACACACATCAAACACGACTAAATTGCTTATTCAGTCTATCCCTCCCTCCCTCCCTCTCCCCTATCCCTCTTCCTCTTCCGCTCCCTGGGTGCAATAAAAATCATGGCTACCTCTGCATAAAGCGCTCTAAGTAGGCTCCATAAATATTGCAGCTAATCGCACGCACCCGGAGCGAGCACACAGCGCAAATGGTTTGCAATCATACGAAAATTGCCTACAAATGAACTGCTTAACGGCCTGTCGCCCATTTCGAGAGCACCCCAAACATGAGCCCAGCCCCAGCGTCAGACGCCACCAAGCCATAACAACCCCATTGTATTCCATTTAACCCGGCCCAGAAACTGTGCCAAAGCACATATCACATATATTGCCTTCTGAACTATGAAATACCCTGTAAAATATAAATTAAGGCTTAAATAGCATTGGATTCTACATTCCTTCTAGATACATAAGAGTAAACTCTGTCACACAGCTCATCGATCATTGCCGTATGTTGATCAGTCAGTCAAGCATCTACGACGCGCTTGCTCTACAAAGTTTAGATAAACAATTACTTAATTGTCAATCAGTCAATCATTCAATCAATCACAATGAGGTCACTTTAATTTGAAAAGACTTTCGAAAAATGTAGTCCTCAATCAGTCAGCTTACTAAAGAAATATAATTAGTCAATCAGTCAATCAGCCAGTCAGTCAAACACTCCATCAGTCATTTGCTCAATGAATTTACCTTACACTTTATTCTGATGAAATAGAATCAGTCAATCAGGCAGAGTGTTAGTCAGTCAGTCTGTCAATCAATCAATCACTCAGTGAGTTCACTTAACTGTTGACCCAGGTTGAATCAGACAGCACTTTACTGAAATATAATTAGTCAATCACACATTTAAGTATCTTTATTAACAGTCAGTGAATAAAACTCACGAACTTCTCAGTGACAAACGACTCTTTGCAGAAATTTATTACATGGTATTACGAAACAATCGCTGCCTGGAATTGCGCGCGTAGCATATTTAATTTATAAAATACCAAAAATGGCGGAGCATAAAAATTGTCGACGAAGCAGGACGACGAAAGAGTATGGGCGGTCGAGGAAGGGGACGGGGACAGCGCTAAGGAGCCCGCCACAAAATGCGTGGCAAAAAATTGGATACTTATTAAAAATGCACATATACCATGCAATATGCATGCCTAGCGGGTCGTATGTGCTCTCCAAAATTGTGTGGCTACATAAAAATCAGTGAATGAGAAGGAGGAAGGGAGGGAAAGAGTGAGAGAGGGGGGGGCGAGTGGGTGCGAAATTAATTAAGAACACTCTCGTATGCCACGATTATTATGCTCAGGAAATGGATTTGCCACACTTTGCCAACAGCATTTCTTAGAATACATAACCAAGCGGGGTTTTATAAATATATTCAGAGAGGGGCATTCCACACCAGACTTGGAACTTGGTTAAATTAAAGACGATCTTTAAAAAGTATAAATTGTTAGCCTCGAATTACTTCGAACAATCTTGTTGAATTAGGATTGGGGCTTACAATAGAATAAGTTGTAGAGACATCAAATTTAGTCTGTTGTATCTCGAATAGAGATAAATTATTTTTTTGAATACCTAGTCATCGATACCTAAAACCCAATGTTATTTGTGTAACATTTTGCTTTGGTATAGATGCATAGATGCAAATAGATATATTTAAAATTCTATTTTACTTTACAAGAGTCAAGTCTTCTAGAGTCGTTTCCCGCCTTGATTTCATGCTAATCTCAGCTGCTGAGCTCAACATCCTTCCACCTTGAGCTCAAATCAGTGCAATCGATGCTCAACAAGTCAACCTTTCGCAGTAGCTGGCCAAAAACAACAAGCAACTTGGACTCCCACACAGAGAGAGAAAGAGAAAGAGAGGGACAGAAACAAAGAGAGAGAGAGAGAGAGAGATACACCCACAGACACATGATTAAATAATTAATGTGCTAATTTATCGCTTAGCAAATTGTGTGGTCAATTCACTAACAAAATCACGCATAGACCCAAACCAACACTTGGCCCCAATCGAAATCGAAGTCCAACTCCAACCTCAACTCCAAGTCCAAGTGTGGACAGGCGAAAAGAACTTCGAAAGGCAAACACCAGGGGAGCGAGGGCAGTCACAAGGAAAGACAGGAAAGTGTCTTACGTGTTGAGGGAAATCACACAAATGGCAAAGTGTAGCAAGACCCAGAGAGAGAAGAAGAAAGCTGTAATCGACTAACAAATACCCTATTCGAAATTTCAGGCAAAGATATATGAGATATATGTGAATAAGTGACTATATCTATGTATTCCATAAGGGAATCTTGTTGCTTGCTTTGTAGGCTTAAAGACTTTAGTAGTTGACTACGTGTGATAGGCTTCGATATGCCTTGATAAATCTCTGGCTTCATGTGCATTTACCAATTTTGAAGCTAAAGACCAAATATTTAGAATATAGATAATGCTGTGCAGCTTTCTCACATGGTCTTCTTATTTCTTTTGGAGTAGAGCCATATACTTTATATACTTTATATATTTTATATATTTTATATATTTTATATACTTTACATACTTTACATACTTTATATACTTTATATACTTAATATACTTTATATACTTTATATACTTTACATACTTTACTTACTTTAGATATTTTAGATATTTTACATACTTTATATACCTTATATACTTTCTTTACTTCACATGCATTCTATACTTAATGTGTTCTCTTCGGGTTTACTCTGTTCTTTCAGTTTACTTCGGGCAATTTCAATGGGTATAGCAACAGTATAAATATACACTTAGTGTAAGTCTTTGTCTCCACTTACCTCGCTTCCTCTCTCTCTCTCACTTTCGTTCTCTGTCAGTATTGCCGTCCCTCTCTCTGCAAACAATTTGTGGGCATTTGAAAGACATTCGCATAAACCTTAAAAAGCAGAAAAAAGTGTCACCAATAATAGCGCTCCGCTGGCCGCACATAAAATTCGCGCTGCGACATACTGAGACAGCGCCATAATCAGTATTGGCAATTGAAGTGACATTTGTGCCGTGCCACGCCCCTTTGCCACAACACTCCCACACCCACACACACACACACACACACACACACACTGATTGCCTGGTTGCCATTTGTATATGAGGCAAATAAAAATGCATATGAAATGAAGCTGCAGCAAAGGCATTGGATGCGCAGCAGCGGGGGAGTGGGTCTTGGGGTGATGAGTGAGCAGGGTTGGGGGCAGGGGTGGTCCATTTGAAGGCACTTGCGCAGAACTTGACTGCTGAATATTCCATGAAGTTGCCAATAAAGTCAAGTGGCAAAAGTCCTGCACATGGCAGCCGCGCAGCAAAGGCAATTCGAAGTAGTTGCTGCTGCGCTGCTGCTGTTGCTGATGCTGCTGCTGCTGTTGTTGACTGCAGTAAGCTGCTGCATACTAATTTTGCCAGCAACACCAGCTACCCTCGACTCTGTTCTGCTCTATGCTGAAGCCATACTCCTGTTCCTGCATTGTGGTGGCATCTCTTGGCCTCATTCTGTATTCATACCAAGCACCAATTTCGTGCTGCTGTTGTTGTTGTTGTTGCTGCAGTTATTGCTATTGTTGTTGTTGCTGCTGCTGCCTGCTATTAACTGAAATACAAGTAAAAATGCAATAAAAATGCGGCCCGCCTCTCATTTTGCATTAAAATTGCATTGCAATTGCCCAAGTCGAGACCATTTGGCTCATTGTTGTTGCTGCTGCTGCTGTTGTTGTTATTGTTGTTGCTGTTTTATTATGGCAATTGTTGCTCATTGTTGCTGTTGTTGTTGTTGTACTGCTTGTTGTTGCTGTTCAAATGAAATCCAATTAGTTGGCTACACGGCCTAAGAGCCACGTCGATGGCGATGCGTCGTGACTTTTGCAAAGCGTCCTTTTGCGTTCGAGTGTGTGTGTGTGAGTGAGTGTGCGTGTGTGTGTGACTATGAATTTGCTTATGGAAGCATGCACTGAGAGAAAAGCAGTGTAAAGCAACAAATACAAAGTAAATGAGTCTTAGAAATACATTTGATTTTGATCAATTTGATCATTGTCAAATCTGACTCGAGATTATATATATACAGATATATACATATTATATTATAATTGTTTTGTTTATAAATTACTTCTATGGAACTTTAGCTGTGTACTTAATAGGCAGAAAGAAGCATCTAACCATGTGCTCCTGGCCGCCTGTCTAGAGTATATATATGCCATATGCAACATAAGTACATGAATCTTACTAGATTTGAGTAAGTCTCATGCACCTCTTGGCAAATCTATCTTAACTTATACAGAAGAACTGCATGAAGAAAAAGCAGCATAAGTTGTATATAATTGTGTGTGTGTGCGTATGTGTGTGCATGTATTTGTGTGCACAAAAGCGAGTTAGATTGACTCAAGCTCAGTCCAGGGTTAGGGTATATGATAGCCAGGCACTGCCCACTAGATCACTCGTAATTGTTGTTTATACTACGAATTAAATCACATTAATTATTATTCAATTTATTTATTTCCATATTATATACTTAACATGTTAATAAGGAAATAAAAAGTTGTTTTGTTGTTTCCAGTTCTAGTTCGCTCAGTGTACGAGCGACTGTGATTCGAATTAAATATGCAGTAATTGTCCGTTTCATTGTTGGCCAAGATTTGGCTGTGGCTGTTGCCAAAAAACGTTGCTCTTAAGTGCAAAACTGAATTTTTTTTGATTAACTTTTTTGTTATTGGTTAAACGAGCACACGGAAAAACTTGGAATTGGACTTGAAGTTAGAAGAAAATGACTTTTACGCCATCTCTCTCTGTCGCTCTCTCTCCCTCTGTGCCTGTGGCATGTGCGTACATGGCACATGCCAACATATCAGAAATAGCTACGTAGCTATCCATTTGCAATTGCAGAATCAAGACGCGGCGGCATTCCTGTCAGCCAGCTAGCCAGCAAGGAAGGTAGCCAGGTAGCCCGCTTGCCACCTGAGTTGGAGCCATGCTCAAGGCCAAGAAACTCTCCAATAAAACTGTCAATTAACCTTTAAGTGAACTTGGAACGTAGCAAAAGATGCTGAAAACAAAATAATTTCCATTTGCATAGACACCAAGTGGGGCGGTGGGTGAGTGTGGCATATCTTATCGTGGGCTGCCAGAATGTCAGGTGAGCGATAGCAGCGGCAACATTTTGCGCTTGCTGCTAATAGAGATCTCTCGCAGCGGCTGCCAATGGCTAAAGCTGAGGCAGGCATTAGGAAAAGCCGCGCGAAAAAGTGGACCACACTCCAAGAGCTAGAGCCAGCCCCACCTCTCTGGCCGACGCGCCTGCCCTTCTTTGTGCAGCTTGAAACTGACAAAACGCTGCTATTTCCAATTGTGCTATTAATCTGCCACATTTGCACTTCTCCATGCTTTGAGCTGTTCGCACAGGAACGAGATGGCGGAACGCTTCGCCTCGCCTCGCATCGCTAAGCCGAAAATAGAAACAATCAAAATGAAAATACATTCTCTTCGTGCTTTCGTCTCTGTGCGTAATAAAAACCCCAAAAGCAAAACGTTTTCCATTTAAAATGTCGTCGCAAATACAAAAGCTGCTCCCCGTCCCTCTCTCACTCCTACTGCGACTCGCCACCAAGCGCTAACTGTAACTGTTCGACTAACTGCTGCGCAGCGACCAATCAGAGGCCGGCAGCGTGACGCCCACTGCGCCAATTGCTGGCCAGTTGCTGGCCAGTGCTGCCAAGCGCCGCGCAGACCAAAACCAGTTTGTCCAGCACAGCGCAGTTGAGCGCGCCGGCGCAGCGAGCGAGAGAGCGAGCTGTGCGAGCAAGACGCAAACATGAGCAAGGCGGAGCCAAAACAGAGCAACCACCACAAGACATAGGCAAGTGCGGGCGAGGGGGTTGGCGTGCGTTTATTATGGTAGGTTAGGTTCAAACAAGGTGGCAAACAGGCTCGTTAATGTTAACCAAATAGGAGGGAAGCAGCGACGGCGACGGTGACAGCGACGGCGACTGTGCTGCCGGCGTCAGCGGAACTGGTTTTACGTGCTTGCCAAGCGACTTAACTCAAGCAGTGCCAGCAGGCAGCGACAGCAACTGAGGCAGCAACTGAGGCAGCGACTGCGGCAGCGATACAGTCCGTCGGCATATTTTTGGTTGCATTTATGAAAAGCGTTCACGCCCGCCAGCACGCGCCCGCTCCCAGCACGGAGTTTTTTCGCTCACTCGCCGATCTCAAATCTGAGCTCAGTTCCATTTGTCGAGCCGGTTAACGGTTAACGAAATCGCGTCGCGGCCTCTTTTCAATAAAGCCAAAGCCAAAGTGTGAAGCCAATTGAAACGCCGTCAACTGTGCAGTGAGTGAGGCAAAAGAAATACTTGAGTCATACATCCCGATACCCCGATATCCCGATATATATATGCATATATCCGAATAATCAAGAAATAGAAAAAACAAAAGTGTTGTTCAAATTGGCGCCTCACATAAGCACCATAGCTCTCAACATGTCCAGTCACGAGGAGGATGAACACGAGAACGAGCACGAGCACGGCGAAGATGTTGAGGAGCAGGAAATACACGTCGATGTTGACTCCGACTCAAGAATGTCCTGCGGCAGCGGCTCAGACGTCGATATGGACAATGGCAGCTGCTACGATGAATCCGAAACTCCGCTCAGGTAAATTAGTAATCAGGTGTCAATTATTATACATGACATATATGTATATAGAAATATCTTTGATTAACACACAACTTGAGAAGAAACATAATTGGCCTTAGGATATATTAGTTATTGCATTGAAGGCTTCTCTGGATTATACTCTGTTTACCATGTGCAAAAGGGCATATTTGTTGGCTAGATTGCCGTAGATCTTTGCATTTCATATTTTGTTAGTCACTGTTAGAATTTTATGGTGGCTTAGCTCATTTTATTGCATCAAAATCACAGTGGAAAGTAATCTCTAGCATTCTCTCTTTCTTGATCTGTCTCTGTCTCATTTCTTTTTCCCACTTAAGTAAACAATATTAATCATTTGGCATTATTCCACAATCAGTTAGATGTAGAGTCAAGTCTGTCTCCTCTCTCTTCCTCTTTCTCTCTCTCTCTCCCTAAGTTATTTCCGTACTCTGAATTCCGACTAAGTTGAGTCTTCCTTTCTGATTTCCTCTCTCTTTCTTGATCTTCCTGCCTGCCTTAAAGCCTTTCTGCCTCTCTATATAGAACTTCCTTAAACTATCTTCTTTTATCTCCATTTCATTATCACTCTCTTCCTCTTACTACTCTCCCATTTCCATCTATCTCTCTGTCTCACTCACTTCTCAACAATCAATCAACATATCTTCCTCTCTATAAAGCTCTCACTCTGTTCTCAATCGCTCTCTTCCTTAAACACTCTTAAACACTCTCCCTTCTCTGCCTCCATCTCTCTCTTCCTCCATCTCCCTTTATATCTCTCTCTTCAAAGAGAGGGCTCTTTCTCTCTCTCTGTCCTTCTTTTCTGTAAACAGAGTATTAAGAAGTCAGCAACAATATTAAAAACTTCTCTTCATAATTTGATCAGCCTACGAAATGAATATATTCAAATGACATTCGCATTGTCTGACTACACAAAGTCCCATTCAGGGCGCATTTGAATAGCTAACAAGCTGATCCAATAAACGCTTTCAATCACAATCGAATCGAAACGAGCTCTCGAGTCGCTCCAATTTGGGTTTGGCGTGAACAAAGCTCTTAAACGCTAATAAATAGCCACAGCAGACGCCAAGAAAACTTCCTGAATTTACAAAGGCAGCTAGAGTGACTGAGAGAGAGGGAGAGGTAACTATAGGGTATGAGGGAAGTGGGCATTGCCGACTCTGGCGACGATAAAAAGGCACATTAGCAAGGCGCCAAAAGGCGCGCACCGATAACAGTGGCTCAAATGGGCTCCAAACGGGTTCGGGCAACACAGAGACAAGGCCCAGGCGGGGGGCCCTACGCATCACATGGGATTAACATTTTAATAGAGAATGCTCCATAAAAACGAAAACACATAAAGCGAAGCGCGGCGAATGCGAGGCCCGAGACAAAAGAAGAAAGATCATAAAACAGTTGTTCCTCTGACTTAGGGAGGTTGTGGCTGCTGCTTTTCGTCAAGTGTAGATCAGACGGGCGATTTATAGAGTTCGAATCAAATGCCATTTGCATAATTACTTAATTTGCCAAGATCCATGCAAAATATTACGCATACGCAGCGTCAGACGAAGGCGCAGCAAAAACATGATTTCTGCGTGTTTCAAGCCAATACTTTTGGCCTTATCTGCAACACAGCCAGCAGCAGCAGCCAGCAGCAATCAGCACCAACAACTACTTAAATACACTTTGAGAAAAATTGTAGAATTCTATTAAGATGTGATTGAATGTGGCAAAGATAATCAAGAAAATTTAGATTGTATCTTAATTAATTAAAAATCATTTAAAAACAAAACCTAAGAAAATTTAATAAGTCAATAGAAAAAAAATATAATAAATAATACAAATAATGAATATGTGTAAACGTGTTAAAAAAACCAAAATATATAAAATATATATAAAAATCTCTTAAATAAAAAAAAATTATATATAAATATATATAACAAAATATATATATAAAATAAATATTAAAAAAAATATACTAAAAAAAAATATTAAAATATAATAAATAATATATATATCAGAATAAATGAATAATATTTATGTATAAATTAAAATGTAAGAAATATATTGATAAGAAATAAATGAAACAAAATTTAAAGCATCAATTATATACAAAATTACATAAAAATTGTTTATAAATTAAACTACAATTTATAGTTTCACAAATAAATATTTCATATTTAGGATCTGGCCAAAAAAAATTTATGACTTTCAGACATTTTTATTGCAAATTGAAGATTTCAAATATTCTGGAAAAACTTCACTTAATTTGAGTAGCAAATTCGTAAGATTTTTTCTAAGTGTATGGCTTATGCGTGGGCAAATGTTTACAGATTTTAGTTTGCAACATTTTTAGTCATAATTAGTTCTATCTGTCTCCGTCTCTCTCTCTCTCTGTCTGCGTCTGTCTCGCTCTTATCTAGCGACACTTTTAATATTAATGAGAACAACAACAATAATAACTTGTATTTTCCTCTCTCTCCCTCTCTCTCTCTACTGTCTACTCTCTACTCTTTACTCTCATCTCTTTCTATAGCGAATCACTGCAATCGGAGCAAACGCGCTCCTCATCCAGCGAGAATCTGCCCTTTAGCATATCGCGCCTGCTTTCGAAACCCTTTGAAACCAACAACAACAACAACAACATCATCATCAACAGCAGCCAACACAACAGCAGCAGCAACAGCAACAACAACAACTTGGATAGAAACATTGAGGAGAAAGAGCTGCAAGCAGATGAGCACGATTTGGCCGCCTATAAGTTGGCCAGCAGCATTGCCAATTCGACTTATGGCAGCGCCGCAGCGCTCTACTCGTATCCGCATCTTTATCCGTCGGCAGCGGCAGCGGCTGCTGGCCATGTGCTGCGTGTGCCGCCGCAGCGCACGCCGCTCACCTGGGCGCTGCCGCCGCTGCATCATGCGGCGCTCGCCCATCAGGCGGTCAAGGATCGGCTGGCAGGTGAGTGAAGTTCGCTATAAAAAGTGAGGTAGCCCCCAAATAACAAGCAGCAGCTACTGTTACGATGTACATAGGTGTGTGAGTGTGTGAAAGTGTATGTGTATGTGTGTGTATGTGTGTTTGTGTGTGGCTGACTGGACTGTGGCTGTGTTCTCTGCCTAATAAGCGCGATCAGAGAAGTCTTTTAAGCCAACATGCCTGTCGGCATGTCATTTGCCCAAGCAGTGCCACACACACACACACACACACACACACATACTCGCACACACACTGACACACACGCCCTAAAGTATAAAAACATGTTTGCCTTCAAATGCGCAATCGCAGCTTAAGTCAAAGCCAAAGAACAAAAAACCGCCCAGAAGCAAAGGTTTTGCTCTACTCATTTGCATATATATATATAGAAATATGTATAGGTATAGGTACGGTCGATCTGAGCTGGATCCTCGCTGTTCGCTTCCTTAATTTGTTTACATTATGAACTTCGCTTGTTCGAACAGCGCGAGCCGCTTAAATAATGAGAACGCGTTGATTTTATTACGAATCTGCATACTCCTTTTATCAGCTGTGCTGTCAGTCGAGCAGCCCAGCAGCCAAGCGTCTCAGCAGCCCAGTTAGTAGGAAGTTGGCTGCATTAACTCATATTTGTGAGCCGCAAAGCTGCTTAGCTGGACGATCGCGGTGCGATTTGCTTTTATGGCCAACATCCGCTGGGCTCCTTATTTTATTTACGTTTACGTTTTCGTTTTTGTTTTTTTAGTTATTTTAATGAGCTGGTTTACATGACTTTTTAATTTCGCGCTGTGCCCCCGAAAAAGGAATTAATTACACATTGGGCGGTCTTCAAGTGAGCTGCGGACTTGGCTTGGCTTATTTATCGCCAGCATACCACACTTCAATGCGACGCGGCCTCAACTGACATGGGCAGCATTTAATTAGTCTCAGCTAGTGTGCGAGTGTGTGTGCGTATGTGTGTGTGAGTATGTGTGAGAGGGAGACGAGCATTGAACACGCGGCGCTGTGCAGCCCAAAATGCAGAGAGCGGGAACGGGAGAGGCAGAACTGACATGCAAGTTAAACAGAACTTGGCCACACTTTTAATATGAGTAGCATATGTATAGATCGGTCAGCGGGAGTGGGAGAGGGAGAGCAAGTGTAGCTTCCTTTGACCAGTTTCGTTTTGTCAACAACTTCGTCAGCGTCAGTCTCGCTGTGTTTGTGTCTGTGTGAATGAGTGTGTTTGTGTATGAGTGCAGTATGTCGCAGCGGCTTTGCTGATAAGCTGGCGCCTTGGCTTTTTTCATTAACAAGACAAACGAGCCAACGTCACAGTGTGACCCTTTCCCCATTGGTTGCTCCCCTCGCTCCCCGCTCTCGTCGTATCGCTCACTCATATGATTAATAAGCGTTGCATGTTAATTGGAATGCCGTTGCTTGGGCTTTTTGCTGACAGCCACACGCAGCAGGCGCCAATTAAATTTTCAGCCCTTTCTAGCCAAAAAAACTGGCTAAATCGCATGAAAGTTCAAAGTGTAAATGCTTGAGTGCAGATATTTGTAGCTACATATTGCGCATACGCCAGGTGGGCCAGCGCCCCAGTCTCAGCCTCTGTCTCGGCCTCAGGCGCCATCAATAATGCATGCTAAAAGCTTTTAGCATTATTTTACGTATTTTTGGTAAGGCTAACAGCAACAGCAACGGCAACAGCAGCAGCAACAGCAACTGCCACAGCCCACAGACAGGTTGTGAGAGTATCTTTAAGATACGCCAAGAACTGAGCCAAAACATCATAAATAAGAGGAAGCAGGCAACGTGGGGAGGGATTTGTCGGTAAGCCATAAAATTATGCTTACGCGAATGAGTGTTTGACTCCGCATCCTTTAAGGATATGAGCGCCTGCTTATGTGGTGCGATAAATGGCTTTTTATTGAAATTGATATTACCTGAAATATTCAAATGGTTTTCAAGCCCTTCCCAACACACGTCCCACATCTATTTTTTCCTTGGAAATGGAAGGGTTCTTCGGCGAAGTCACAATAAAAAACATGATTTGTCAGCTTAACACCCAGCCATACATAACGGTATTCAGCTTTGGGGCTTTTTACGATTGATGGAAATTTTAGCCATTTTGTTGGTATTTTTATTGAAGCCAATTGGGAGCCAAATTTCTAGGGATATAAAAAGCAAGTTAAAGAATTCTGCTTGGGCTGTAAATATTATAGCTTATTCAGCTCTTTAGCTATTGGAAAATGAGGAAAATGGCTTATGATATAGGTTCGTTTTATATAGAAGAAGAAGAGGTAAGTAATGTAGAAAATTGCCATTGCCAAAGAAATTTGCCATTTTTGCAATCACTTGAATTTGAATTTATTTTATGCTGAGGTTCAGATATTGGCATATCAAATGAGACAATATATAACATATTTTACTGTACTAGACTGTATTAAAATAATAGTTCAAGAAATTAAATGAGAATGCCTCAGCCCGAAGCAATCTCCGCTCTACAGTTCGTTTATCTGACTGTCCGTTCTGTCCGCTTCTATTGAAGCTAGATATTTGAAATTTGGTAAAAATATTCTGTTGGGTACGTTTCTTTCATTCAATGAAGGCTACTCATATCAGTACAAAATCATGTTTTATACATATTTAAACCTAAAACTGCAAAGATTTGCTGCTTGCTGTTTGCTTTTGACTTTCTCTACAGATAGACTTCTAAGCTCGTAAATGGACTTCTTTAGATAGACTTCTTAGATGTACTTCTATATCCAACCTCTATGACTTCAGTTGTATACACTTGTCTAAGGATAGTTCTATAAATATTTATATTGATAAACAAACTCAAGCTGGGTATATTAGTCTCAACTATATAAACACCTTAAAGCTCACGTTGAGAGGTTGAGCTTTTCCTTACTTAGTTTCTTTGGAATCAGTTAATTTTCTCTGGACTTTCGTTTAATTTACACAATTTTCTCAGCAGTCGCTCAATGCAATTCAATTTAAGCGCCAGTAATTGATAAGAAAATGTGTTTTTTATCTATTACATTAAGTTATTTTGCATTTGGCTTCGAGTAACTTTGATGTGCTTAAATATTTAGCCAGATCTAACTGACAAATGACCCCTATGAGACGTTGGTCAAGCCGGTTTCAGCCGATTGTCGCCGAGGACAACGACGACGACAACGACAACGACAACGCTTTAATATTTTGTTGCTTTTGCTGTTGTTGTAGCTTGGTTGGTTCGTCTTATCGCACACAATAAACAACAACACGCAAAAGTAAGTCGACTGGCTGGAATTTTAAAAGGTTCAGCGCCAGGCAGACAGACGGACAGCCAACCAGTCAGCCAGCGGCCAGCGGCCAGCGGCACAGCGCGCACCCATTAAGAGAGCCGAAGGCGGCCTTAGACTTAGGTCACATAGGCATCCTAGGAAGTACGAGGAGAGTTTATGACTCAACCTTTTGAATGAAATTGATGTCGCGTGCGTCGTCGTCTTCTGCCGCTGATGATAAAGGTTAAAGATCGCACTCAGACAGCAGCAATTAGGCACAATCGAGTCACTGACTGCGGCTCTTCACCAAATTGATTTCACAGCAGGTAGACACAGGTTACAGGTTACAGGTCACCTGCCGGGCTGCCGGGCTGCCGGAAGCAAATATCGGAAATGTCCTATTATCTATTTAGACATATATTTTATAGCTTATACTTAACTAATTGCTTGAACTATGCTTTCTTCTGCCCTCAGCTGCCTTTCCCATTGCCCGGCGTATCGGACATCCGTATCAGAATCGCACGCCGCCCAAGCGAAAAAAGCCGCGCACCTCGTTCACACGCATCCAGGTGGCTGAGCTGGAGAAGCGCTTCCACAAGCAGAAGTACTTGGCATCTGCCGAACGGGCGGCTCTCGCCCGTGGCCTCAAGATGACCGATGCACAGGTGAAAACGTGGTTTCAGAATCGACGCACCAAATGGAGGTAAGTTTCACAGTTTTTTTGAACAACAAAAAATCAATATGCAACGCTCTCAACTGCTGACAGCTACCGCCTGCCCCTGCCACGCCTCTTTAAACTAGAAAAAGAGAGAAAAATATAAATATATATATAGCTCACTTCTATAACGGAGGGTAAAAGGTTTTTCCATTATGCATGAGCACATTAAATGAGAAAGCGCAAACCTCCCCCTGCCCTGGCTCACCCACACTGCTTCCGTTTAGGGGTTGGCCCTCTGCGGGGGTGGATTCATCTTGTGTCTAGTTTGTTAAGTCCTCTGCAGCGCTTACTCCATAATGAGCCGAGTTCCTGCTATTAGAGCAACTCTTATAATAATCGCGCAAAATGGAGGCTATGAAAAATATTATCATAATTTAACTTTACTCAAACTAGACATATATGAAATAGAATATGGCTTAAAAGGAATATATAGAGCTTAAGGCATAGATAACAAATGCAGGGTTCAAAGGATCAGTCAGATGCTTCCATTTGAAAAACAAATAGAAGTTTTAACTAAATATTCCAAATTTTACTTGATTTTACTTTATTTCAAATAAAGTAATGACAAAATCGCATTTAATAAGCCTTTCGGACAGACATAAATAATGTATAGGAAAATCTCAATTGGATATTTAGAAACTAACTGTAAATAAATTAAAACGTTCCAGCTGAGAAACACATTTAAGTCATACTCATACTCAAAATTTATTTAAAATTAAAAAAAAAATATATATATATAAAAAAAATTTATTTTTAATTTAGCCAGAAAAGTTTTTAATATTGCTTACAAATAGTAACAAAATAGCATCCAAATATTATCTATAAATATTAAATATTATTTTAATATTATTATAAATATTTAAATAAATCTAGATATTTTAGTAACTCATTGAGCCTTGACCTGCTCTTGATTTAACTCAGTTACATAGATGAATAACTAGCTGATGTAGCTAAAATATCAGATATATATATATATATATATATATATATATATATATATATATATATCTATATATATATATATATATCTTTCATATATTTGACTATATATTCAGATATTTTGTAGGTCAGCTTTAGCAGCTGTTTCTATATCACCTTGGTGGCCTCTGCACTGAGCACATTTCTCTACTCTGGCAATTAATGAGCTATTTCAAATGACGAATCGTTGCCTTATCAAACACATGAGCGTGATCCTTCCCTTTTACTATATGTAGATTCGTTTACACTTTAAGAAATTACTATTCCCAAACAAACTTAGAGCTGAATGATAAGATAAACAAACCCCAATTAAAATATATTCAAAGCCAACCAAATTTCTTCGCAGCATCAACTGCGCAGCCCAAAGATTCTGCTGCCAAATTAGCCAACATCTATTTCGCTCAGTGTATGCATATCATGCGAGTTATAAACAAGTCACGCGCTTGTTTGTCTCTAATTTAATGAGGCATTGATGCGTTGAACGCCGTTGCGTGTCTCAAATTGTTTTCTATTTTATTATTAACATTAACATTAGAATCATAACGAAATGATTCCCTCGCCCACTACCCCGTCCCTACATATATGATATATGATATTACCATATGCAATTACCATTATAATAATGACACAAAAAAGTTTACAAAAACTGGGCAACTTTACCCTACACACAATGATAATGGGCATATTAGACTTGGGTGAATGTATGTCACATAGAGAGAAGGAGATGTGTCTGCACATAGATATTTAGAATATGCTTCAGAATAATAGGTCAACTATAGGTCAACGTATTTATCATATCTATATCTTTATTTTTCTAGAACTAAAATTTATTTGATTACTAATAGCAAGTTACAGGGTATCTGCAAGTCGAGCAGTGCCGACTCGTATTTCTTTTACTTTCTGCTCTCTAGCAGCAGCAACAAAAGTTTTTACAGTGGGCGCATTTGAGACGCGTTAATTGCCGCTTAGCAGGCTCAGCTCCCACAGCACGACAATGCCAGAAGCCAGAAAGCAGACCCGTCTCTCCCCCACAGTCTCTCTCGCTCACTCTTTCCGTTTCTCAGCAGTGCCTTCTGGCCAAGTCCTCTAGACTGTTGGCTGTTTGGCTCTTAGAGCTTATCAGCCATTTTGGACCTAGTTTAGCTCGTAAAAATTAATGATGTAAAACGCAATTTTGTTAACGGCAATGGCCACGGCTCGTTTGTGGCTAAGTGAAATGGCAACGGCATTAAACAAGCCCCATGATTATGTATGCCTCGTAAATACTACTATAGTTATGTACATATATAAGCATTTATATTCGTATATATATCACATAATTGCCTTAATGCAACTGCGCGCCAAGTAATTTGAATAATTAGCACCGTTCAACATGGCGTATGAGTTATGTTCGCTTCAAAGATTTCAAAATGAGTTTTTTTTTCTTGTAACTCGTTTGCGGGCTCGCAATAACAAAGACAAAGCATGAATCAGAGGCCTTCGCTTGCAAACAACAGCAATACAAAATACAACAACAAGAGTTAATAATTAACAAGAAGAAGAAGACTGAGCAATTGAATGAAGCTTGTTGCCCGTCAATTTGACAATGTGTTTAGCGAAAAGGAAATTAAAAGGAGCAGCGAAAAAGAAACAACAAGCAAACATCAGTTAGCTGCGCAATGCCGACGTCTAAATACCTTTTGCATATACATGTATTCATATCACATATATATTCACAATGGTTTTCGTTTAATTTTGTGTCTATTAAAGCGACTTAATTATATATTCTGATACTTATATAAATATATCTTATTAATTGCCTATTATGTAACAAGATTGGAAAATCCATGAAAGGGCATCAGAAAGTCGCTAATGCAAAAGCCTAATGGCAGACAGACATCAGTTAGAAAGCGGGTGGGTGCGGGTGCGGGTGCGGGTGCGACAGGGACAGCAAGTCTGTCAGCTCAGCTCTTAGTGAAAGAAAAAAATGGCATGTCATTGCGTACTTTGTTTTATTTGCGCTGGGGCCAAATAAATGACGTCGTCTAACAGTTGTCTGCTTGGGCAAAAGATTTGCAGAATCTGCATACCCAGCAATTGGGCAAATAGCTTATGAGGAATATTTGTTTCAGTTGGTTGGAAATAAAATGATAATATTAATTTCTTGGCTAAACCTCATGCAGGTTAAGAATAAATAGGGAAACTGAGTGTCTCAGTGGGTACCACTGGGTATCTTCTCTGCTAAGCTTTCATGTACAGCACTTAAGCTGCTTGATACTAGAAGAGTATGCATAATTTAATTAGCAACCTGCGCATAAATCAACTTGCCGTTAAACCCTTTTTAATTACACGGCCATGCATCAAACACAAAGAGTTGGGTAAGAGATTGGTGGGGGAGGGGGCGAATCTTAAATTCGAGTGGGAAAACTCACATGAAATTAATTGCGTGGCATATGGAAAAGTTTTTGCAGTAGCTGCTGCTGAAAGCTGTCTAATTAAAAATTTACACACGCACACAATGACAAATGAACTGTGTGCGTGTGCTTGTGTGTATGCGGGTGTGACCAGAAGAAGTTATTCGCAAAAACTTGAACCACAAGACGAAAAATCAATTTGGCAAAGAGCAAAGTTTGTTGGGCCAAAACAAAGGAAGAAAGAAAATCAAATGAAATTAATTGCAGCTGCGTTTGGCCATTTGTAAATTAACTTTGAAGCTGTGACGTTAAGGCACGTGTCCTGCGCAGGACGAAATCTTAGGCAAGTCCTGCGGGACTAGCTGGGGCCAGCCAATTAATGGACTGGCTAAATTGTTATGTCTTGAAAGATAATTACCAGAGGGCCCCAAAAACATTATTCTTTGTGTGTGTTTGTGTGTGTGAAATGATTTTAATTAGCTGCTTTCGGCTGTTACTTGGGCAGCTGCTAACAGCGCGACAATTGACTTGCCATTAAATTTGTTACCACATTTATCACCCGCTGCCCCGATTTCTCTCTATGTCGAGCTTTAATAAACATTTTAGCCTAATGCCTGCCCATTATTTATCGTGCAAACAACAACAACATTTTCATCGCCCTGGCGCCAAAAGACATACAGTTAACATTTGTAAAGCGTTTTCCATTTCCACCTCGATAAAAACAAAAAAACACAAAAAAAAAAACTCTCGTGCTGCACAAGATAAATTACAGTCGTGCTGCCTCTATTTCTGTCTCTGTTGCGCTTCAATTAGGCCCAGAGGCTGTCGTTTGCTTCTGCCTCACTCTTTCTCTGTCTCTCTGTTCCGCTTAAATTAAGCCCGCACACATACTCAATCATACATACACACACACACAGCATTGCCTGTAGCGTCGTGCTGCCTGCCTGTAGCGCTGTCTCTGTTCCGCTTAAATTAAGCTCGCACACACACGCACACATAGTTTGCTTTGCCTTTGGAGTTTTTAATCAATTTTTGTTGAATTTTTCATGCGGTAGCTGTAAAAATGCCTCGCAGATAAAGCATCCAAAAAATGCCAGAAAGTAAAAGTGAAATACTACCCATAGTCGTATAATATATAACTCACTCACTCTGAATGCCAGACATAGAAATTACTGTTTTTGTTGTTACATCGCATTACTGTGTTGAGCAATAATTGAATTAGAGTGAACCAAAGCATATTTATTTCACTGGTAGTATGCATTAAAGAAAATACTAAAGTAAGTTCTAGACACGAAACCCGACACATAACAATCATCCAATTTGGCAATGATATTAATGAATTTTTAATAAGCTCGCATTCAAGTTATGAACTTTTAGTTTGAATGATGACATTGCCGATGAAAGCCTTAATGATAGCATATTTAACTATAATACTACAAATGACATGTGTGGGTCGCACTCACACACACACACACACACTCGAGCTAACGAGCTAAGTATTTAGGATAATAATTACACGGGACAAAAACTTTAGCTGGCAACCATAAGAACTTCATTAGATCATGAAATATTCAATATGGCGCAAAGGCAAAAACAACCACCCTAACAGGCATCTGTCTGTGTGTGCGTGTGACTGTGTGTATATATGTGTGTGGCCACAATTAGAGCACAAATGCTGCGCAAACGCAAGATGCAAAGGCGAAGGGAAAGCGCAAGACTAAAATGGAACTGGAAGTGGAACTGCAAAAGAGAATGGGAATGTACATAGAAATGGGAAGGGCTAAAGGGAATGAAGAGCAAATGCTACAGCAAAGCGAAATTGCATTTACAGTTGCAACAACTGGCAATGGAGCTGGGCATGGAAAAGGGTAATGAGAATGGAAATGGAACTGCTGCAGTAGTAGCAAAGCGCAGTTGCAATTACAGTTGAATAATTGATGGCCTCAGGAATTGTTGTTGGTCTTAAATCCCATTTAAGCGCAGCATTTAAAATGCAATTTAACGGCAAAGCAACTCGAAATTAATTTTCAATAAAACAAAAGCGAATCGTGTATGTGAGTAGTGGGCAATCAGCATATTTGATTCGATTTGTTTTAAGTGGCTGTGCATACCTGCCTCTGCTGTCGCACCTGTCAACTATATAGATCTGGCCACCATAATGAATATGCACATTAGTCGATGTCAATATATAGATAAAGCTCATCAAATCCCCCCTCTCTCTCTCTTTCTTTGCTTGCAGACGTCAAACAGCGGAGGAGCGCGAGGCGGAGCGACAGGCAGCCAATCGGCTGATGTTATCACTGCAGGCGGAGGCCATTAGCAAGGGCTTTGCACCACCCACTGCGCCGCTGAGCTCACAGTCCGGCGTAAATGGAGCTCCGTTGGCAGCGCTGCATGGCCTGCAGCCCTGGGCGGAGGCGTCCCATGCAGCGGGCTGCTAATTGTCAAATGGTAGATCGTATACATACACACACACATAACTCCATATATGTACGTGTCTCTGTGTGTATGTGTATAAGGTTTATTTGTGATAAAGTTTGCTTTGTAAATAGAGTTGAAAAACGTAATGGGCACAGTGAAACCCCGAACAAGACGAATCAATCAATTTGTAAATACTTAGCTTTACTTTCCTTATAAAATACAGATATATATATATATATATATATATATATATATATATATATATATATATATCTGTATATATAATCATATGCTTAAGTACTCGATGTAAGTTTAAGTAGTTTCCTTTAGTTTGTAGCGCAGTGTTTGCATGATTTGATTTCCATCTTCAGTTGTTCAACACTTATCTCAGAAATGTCAACTCTATGAAGCATATATATAATATAGTATATATAATATAAAAGAATTTTAAATATATGGCTTGTATTGTACGTTAGTTCATAAGTCGAATGGCATTACCTAGTATTATAAATATAATATAACTATTGCAAGATATAACTAACTGAAATAAATACACTACGAAATCAAAGAAAACAACAAAATGTTTTAGTCTTAGAGATTTGGGGCATTTTGCTTTCCTGTAAGTATCCCCATTGCTCTTTCGATCTATGATTGATTTCAGTTTATATATTATGACTTTTCTAATGGCCAGTAAGATCTGATGAAACTTGAAGGGAAATTCGACTATGACTAGTAAATTCTAAACTAAAACTAAATGATCTATGTCACGTCTTACTCTTGATTTTTACCATGTTGCGGATACATGTGAGTTGCTGTGACCAGATTGTGTTTACTCTAATATATAGAAATAATAACAAGAAGTGCTAATACCGCCCTCGACCTCTCCAAAGCATCGTATATTAAACAGGACTTGTCGAAAGAGAACTGAGAGTTAGACTTGAGGTCGGAGCTCGGATCTCGGATCTCGGATCTGTAAATTGATCTCACAGAAATAGTCAGATTCTTGGTTACTGACTCCTGTTGACCAGTGAAGTCTTTAGATCCTTAAGGAGTTTAATTTAATTTAAGTCACATTAATTTTGATGTATGTCGTTTCGATTCGGGATATTCTAATGCCATATGCTGCCATAACCCGACGGAAAAAGGAAGAGGACGACAAGGAGCAGGAAAAAACCAACAACAATTAGCTGACTGAAGTTCTTCATAATGGTAATCCTGGCGGCCTTTCATTATAAATATATTACGTGTTTTTGCTGCGCTTCAAAGGCAAAACAAACACAGAGAATGCCGCCAGGTCGACAGAGAGCAGGTAGCTCTCACTTCCTCTCTCACTCCCCTCTCACGCTCTATGGTAGGGATCGTCTCTTAAAGTGTTGGTTGCTGTCACATTAGGCTGGAGTCGGACTCCTACGAGTTGCCAAGGTGGTCGCTGCTTGCGGAAGTAAACCATTTGCAAACAAGTTGAAAGGGAAGGCGCCACACAATGTTGCAGTCGCCCGGACCTGTCGGACGATCAAATGGTATTTTTATTGAAACTTCAAGAGAGACACCTTTTCAATTTGGTTGCCTTTGCCGCTTTGCTACTTGGAAATATCTCGCATAAATTGCGTTTAATTGGACAATTTTGTGGGTTTTTATTTCTTTGTTAGCTTGTAATGAGGATCGGCGGAGGAGAGATCCTTCGGGCTGTGCGTCATTGCATGTGCTCGACAGAGGGGCTTCTCGACTCTAATTGGCACAGTTTGTGGAAACTGGAAGCCAACCCAGGTTTTTGATTGATTATTGAGCCAAGCTGCGGACAGCAGCCAACAGCCCACAGCCAACGGCCAACGGCCGACGGCCAGAAGCTGCAGCCACAATCTATTTGTGTCCACTTAGTGAAATGACAGGCGCCACAGACAGAGAGAAAGATAAAGATAGAGAGACTGAATGGGAGTGGGGGGAGATCTGGGTGATTGCCGAAAATCAGCAAAAAGAAAACCAAATTGAAAGTGACCAACAGAGGGTGGCATCCATCCAACTGCAAGACTCTTTATATGAGAGCAACGAAGAGGACTCTAGTTGAGAGTGCACGACTAGCAAATACCCCGACATGCAGGCGCTTAGGCAAACAGCTGCTCCTCTTCCTTCTACAAACCTAGCTCTGAAGCGCATTAGTGGTTGAAGGTTTCCAGATATGCCAGTCAAATATATATTTGATGGTATTAAGGATTGGGTAAGTTCTCTCAGCTTGTTCAGAGGTCAGCCACGTAAACAACAGACCCTGAGTGTCCTGAGCTCAATGTGTACAGGGTATACAAATACAAATGAACAGCCCTGCGGTTGGTCAACAAGACAAGCACAGAGAGCAGAGGCTGGGGCTAGAGCGAGAGAGTGTGAGAGTGGGGGAATGGGAAGACCGCACAGAGTAGGATTTTGCGAGTGGCAGCCTCTTGGTCCGGCTGGCATGTCAATTTGGATTATGGCTATGGATTGAACGGGATTTAAGGCCAAGTCGAAGCTTTTTTCAAATTAGTTTTTCAACCTTTTGCCACAGAGCTGCAATTTTCATATTAAAATTCAGAAGAATCGAGGCAGCGGCAAGCCTTTGGGGCACTCGCTGGAACTTTGACAGCCATTCACAAAAGTCGCAATCGCAGTTGCAGTCACAGTAGACGGCGCACAGTGACAGCGAATAATTAGCGGACATCATGGAGACATTTAAATTAAATATGAGTTTGCTATTGTTATGTGTTGCCGTTGTTGCCGCTGCTGCTTGGCCAACGCTGAGCACGTCTAGCCTCTAATTATGGCCGTCGCTGGTTGGCTGCCAGCTTGGCTGGTTGGCCTGTCAACCTGCCACATGGCAGTCATAAAAGCAAACAAAAAATGTCATAAAGGAAACCATTTTGAACAGCGTATTTGAAGGCAAGGAATACAGCTGCAACTGATCGACTATGAGTTACCCTTTAAGTAAGAAAAGGAAAAGGATTCATCTGGATTGATGGCTTCAAATATTATCTGTTGCTTAACTAGTCACGCAATTACATCCAATACATCACGATTGATTGCCATAACTTTTATTAGTTATATATATCTATACATCTTGATTGATGTTAACTGCTGCTTAGCTAGCTACTCAATTATATCCAATACATCAAGATTGATAGCTGAGTATTTCATTTATTGCTTAGTTACTCACTTACTTGTAACAATGCATCATGATTGATAACCATACAGTTCATGTGTTGCCTTCATAGCTGCGCAATGACATAGATATATCATGATTGATAACAGAAAATGCCTTCAAGTTGCTTCCATTTATGTAAGTGTCTTTATATTGAACATACATCTTGATATCTGATCTTTGATTGATAGCAGTAAGCACTTGCATTGGTTCATCATGATTGATCGCAGTCCTACTTCTACATCTTGATTGATCAACAGAAGCATATCTAACTAATGTACTGACGTTTTGATCTTTGCATGAGTCATCAATACATCATGATTGAGCGCATGCATAGCTGCCAGACTGATAAGTTTTTCTATTCCTCAAGCTCTCAACTCATAATGAACTATCTCTACGAGTAGATCTACCCCGTTATATAGTTATATCTGTAGCTATCTTTGGCAAACAGCGAGCTGTCATTAGTTCTCTCTGCCTCTGTCTCTGTGTGTGTCTGTGTGCAGGTCTATTACTGTAAATGAGTTAAAAATGGAGTAAATGGAGTGAGAAGCACGCTCTACATCCCCCTGCAAGCAAGGGCAGCCATTAAACGCAGTTGTTGTTTGTGTTGCCGGATCTACCACGAGCATTTGGGATCCGGTGCTACGGCGACAACTAGCAATAACGACTAACAGCACTTCTAATGACCACGCAGCGCCGTTCTCCAAATTAATCATTTGGCCTGTCATTAGTTTCATTGCGTATTTTTTATTTTTATAACCTGAACTCATTGACGGCGCACGAAACGGGGTATATTAGTTGTGTGCCAACGTATGCAGCAGGCAGGCGAAGGCGTGGCTGGCACCTCACCTTTTCAGCAGGACGACGAGCTGCGTCGATGAGAGAGACTTGAATTTCGAAATATTTATTCTTGTATACCCCTACTCAATACGGGCTTATAAGTTCAATATCTCCATCTCATATAGTTATTATGGATAAGCTTTGAGTTGTTTAAGTTAGAAATATGAATGAATGCACAGATAATAAATACTTCCTTTCAGATATACTGGCATTCCCGCTTCTCCTCTTGACCCTTTGGCTCTGGTAGATCCATTTCCGTACTCTACGAATTTCCTTAAGAACTAAATGTCGAATTCAGGGTATCTTCTAGTCGTGCACCTCGAGCACTCCATTTTTTATTTTTATTCAGTATTTTTGTTAGTTCTCTTTGTAGTTTTTTGTTTGTTGTGAACAAAGCATATGCTAATAGCTCATGAATGACATGTTGCCTTGTCGTTGCTGTGGCCAATAAATTGGCTGGCTAAATGATACTGAAAAGTTCCCCCGCTGCACGAATTACCAGATAACACTAATAGCAATAGACCCACGAGAATACAAATTATTTTAAATACTCTTGTACGAAGTCTTAGTCGACAGCCACTTGAAGTAAATCGCAATTGGTGACATCGCCTTCAAATGGAAATAATTTCATTTGTATTTATTGTAATTTTAATTATTGTTATATTTGGAGAGCGGGTGGGGGTGGTCAATATAAATACTAGCCAATCTTATCGTTAAATGAAGGTCAGGCTGCTGGAAGCAGCCCCAGTATCTATATCATCAGTGTCAATATCATTATTTATCATATATGCTTTTCATCACTCTCAGTTTCATTACTATCAGCAATCATTGTCGTTCTCATTGATATCATCATTATCATTATCAATATTATTATATTTATTACCAATATGGTTATCATAGACATCATTATTGTCATTATCATTATAATACCATTTTCATTAGCATTATCATCAGACTTGTCATTCTCATTTAGATTTTCATTATCGTTTCATTAATATTATCATTAATATACTTATAATCAGTATGATTTTCATTCATTATAGTTTGACATATATATATATATATAGTATTACTGTTTTAGCATGAATAAGTAAACAAATAGTATGATCTATTAACCCAACTCACAGACGTTTCCTCGTGAAGGCCTTTGTAAA